TCGAATACCGAAATTATATAAGAATTAATGTAAAATAGACATAATTTGCTCTCAAATCCAAAGATACACAATGGAACTTTAGTTCCTGAAAATAATTTATATCTAAAGCTTGTTTAAACACAGATTTGTTCCAAAACCGAAGTCTTATAAGAATTAATATAAAGTGGACAAAATTTGTTCCTAAAGTAAAATGTATACGTCTCATTCAATATTGTTTAATATTTAGTACGTTTTTTTATTAAATTTCTGTAACCTGAATTTATTATATAAAGATTCGATTTACAAGTACTTGTATTACTTAAACTAATTAGCTTTAAAAAGTTTATTAAGTGCAAGAACAACAACAAAAATACTTGATATGCACCTAGATTTATATACTCATCGCCTAGGTAACGTAAATATGACGTTACATAAACTGACATAAATGTGACAATATTATCAAGCGGATGATAAAACTTTGTAAAAATGATATTTACACGAGTTGGAAACGTGTCGCGTTTCGTGCAACACATAAAACTCTGCACAATATTTTATTATCTCCTATGTGCACAGAAGTGTCGTGCGCGCAGTGTCTGTTATGTAACGTATATAGGGGGGCATCATTACATAGTTATGTTATGATGCTTTTGTTGAAGTAAGTCATATCGATGCGGCTCCTTTTTACGAGCGTCTCCGAACAATTTTTATATTATATATTCGTCGATTAGAAAATCAGCGTGGAAAATAAACGTACATTTTCTTCAGAAAAAAAATGAAAGAGGAAATGAAACAACTGATCTGATGACAGGCGTTTTTCATATAATTTGACAGTCAACGTCAGATACTGTAACTTCATCGTCTCACTTGAGTATTCGTTTCTTAACAATCGATACTCTTGTAATATTTGGTTTTATGTAATTTTTACAAGAATTTGTATATAATGTAATTTCAGTTTTCGCAGATAGATGGCGTTATGTTTAGTTTGAAGGATTTCTGTCAATGTTATGATTTTTTCCTTTTGTCATTGGAAAGATGTCACTTTTAACTTTCTTTAGAGTAATATTGTTAACAACTGTTAGTTTAGAGTTAATTTTAACAGGGGTGCATGTCTTGAACACTTTTATTAACCGAATCATCACTGGTGATGAAAAGTGGATCGTCTACAATAACATTAATTGAAAACGATCATGATCCAAGCGTTCATTATTAAAACAGATCATGCTATCAATTTTATGAGATTACAAAGGTGTTTACTGTCAACTAATGAAACTGGAAGAAGCAATCAAAGAAAATTGTAAGAATTGGTTAATCGTGTTCTACCAAAATAATGTAAATCCTCACAAATCTTTAGTAACTACAAAATTGTTGGAGCTTGATTGAGAAGTAATGTTGCATAACCCATATAGCCCTGACCTTACACCATTAGATTTCCATTTATTTCAAAGTTTGCTAAACTTTTTGAATGTTAACAGTTTTACTGATTATGATGATCTAAAATCGCACTTAGTTCAGTTTTTTTGCTTATAAAGACCAGAAGTTCTTTAAAGAAGTCAGAAAGTTGACAAAAGATCATCGGATAAAATGGATAATTTGTAATTGATTTAAGTTAATGAACAAACCAAGATTACTTTATTGCTGATCCAATATGTAGTTAATACCCTTCGGTAAAATTTTCAGAAAACTTGTAAACTGAAACACTCCACCCAATTAGAAATCAACACGCATCAACACCTGTGATCTAAATCACGTGGATGTCACGTGTCAAAGTGACAATCATGAATAAACTTGTCACGTCAAAAGCTGCCGTGACTCATTATCCACACGGACCATGAGATAAAAAAAGCTGAGAAGCAAGAAATAAAAACAAATAAAAAGAAGGGAAAATACGACATTATGAAAATTTCATGTTCATTAACGTGATCGATGTTACCCGTTGTTCTCCTACATTTTGCTTTGTTTCTCTTGTCATTTTTTTTACTACTCTTCTTCATTAGTCGCGATTTTTCAAGCTCCCAGACAATTTAATAATTCACAATCGGACGATTTCTTTTATCTAATAAAACAATTTTAATCACTTAGCGATATTTCTGATTCCAAGACGAATAAACTTAATAATTGAATAAAATATAATTAAATTGAATCATTAATTAGTCATTTTATTTAGTTTTTCTAATACTAATAAAATAAACTAATACTAATACATAAAATCAACTGTTTTTAAAAATGTGGACTTGGAGACATTTTTAAAAACAGTTGATTTTATGTAAGAATTCATTTATTTCATATGAATATCATGTAAACATACTGAAGTATCTAAAATATTCATCTAAAGGGTTAAATATAAAATAATATTTTTTTTACATCATTAATGGTAAAAATAACGTTAATTATAAAATTAATTAACAAAAGTAGATTATATTTGCAAATAAAAACAGTAAATGTAATTTAATCAATATAGGCAATTAATAATTCCATTACGAAAAATAACATTGGTAAAGTTTAAATAAATAATATCTGCAATTACATAAATTAAATCAATATTTATTGTTTTTGCTAAGTGCAATAATATTTTAAAATATTTTTTTATGAAAAAGAAAAATAAGAATATAAATTATATATACTTATTAATTTGGGAATAATTACAATTAAAGGATTTACTATAAAAATTATAAACTGAAGTATAATACAAATGAGAATTTCTGTTAACAGTTTTTATGAAGATCAGGGATCTGAAAACCGGGGTAAATTTACCTGAATGGGGTAAAAATCACATTATTGGGGATAATGAGGACGTTTACTAATGAAAATATTGTAAATTTTAGGACGTTAAATCTATAATTGAGAATTTCAGTTTTTATATAAAGTAGTTTAACACTAAACATGTAAGTTAGTTTAACACTAAATCTACGGTCAAATCATTAATACCTATTTTTACCGTTAGAGGTCAAATGTCCTACTAAAAAAAACTTAATATATAGATTTTAGCCAATTGGAAAGTGTACATTTTATGCGTTTTTAGCGCATTTTCTTTTTACAAATTACAAGATTTTTTATTACACATTATACATTCTAAACGAAATTTCAATAATGATCATTTGACCGCACGTGTTAAGTTTAGTGTTAGGTTTTAGGCTAGAGTCTAACCTAACTATTAGGTTATTTAGGTTAGAATACTCAAAATTTCTCAGTATTTATAACGCATTGATTTGACGCAAATTCTTCCAAATATAAGCTGTAATCTAATATAACATAATATACAATATTGTCATGCATTTTCTTGAAAACAATAATAACCAAACCTAACCAAACTTAGCATAACCTTTATATTATGTTAATAAGTCTTTAATTTTCTTATAAAATAATAATATGAATACGCTTTTCTATTTGCGTAATTTTTCCTAGCGAGAAGATACATAAAAGTAATAACTCTGTTAAAGTCTTTGGAAGAAAGTCTAAGAAAGTTAACACAGCCAATTAATTTCTTAAGGCGACTTCAAAGGGGTTGCGCAAATACGAGCGTTCTCCTTCTGAAGTCGATCGGAATATCAACAAGCTTTATACACGGCTTCACACGATAATAACTTCCTAACGTTGCACAAACTATCCAGGATTAAGAAAAGAACAAACAAGCAGTTTTTACATAATTTTTCCTCTTCATTTCCCCAATCTTATTCTATATTTAACTTTTGTGTGTGTGTGTGTTGGTGTAGTGATCAATCAATGTAGCCAATATAATATGAACGGCTCGACGTATTCTGTTTACGATCAGATTAAAAGGCGACGTTGCGTTTTCCAATTTTCTAAAGTGAACACATCATTTTCGTCGGCCTTGGGAAAAAAGAATGAAAGAAAGATAAAAAATAAAGTAGAGGATTGGAACGTTGCTGGAACCATGTGCCGCTTATAAATTGATCACATTTTACGATAATATTCGATGCGAGTTACCTCATTACTTTGTACGTTATGACATATTGATTTCGAGTGTTTCAATATATCAGATAAGTCTATGTTCCAAACGTTTCAATTCACTAATATATTTAACCTCAAAATATTGACGTTTACATATTTCAACTTTGTTAACATCGCTATTCAAAGATTTTCATGATTACCAACTTTGTGTTATTAGAGCGTCAATAGCAACGTTCATCATCCTTTTCAAAAAGCCCAACATATTTGCTTTGACACAAGGTGACAATTAATTTCATTACCCATAAAAAAACGCAACCAATAGGCTGAGAGACGCTAGTCTTGGGTCAAGTTGGTACTTGTTACAAAATTAATACCAGAAGTTGTCATTTACAAAATGATTTGCATGTCAAATGCATATACATGTAAATTGTAATCTGAAATAAAAGAAATTTGTTAAAATATTTGTTTGCAGTTGTATGTCGACCCAATTGCTATGAGTATTTTACCAGTACCTCGCTTTGACACAAGGTGACAGCTGTCATTTCACGACTCATAGGTTAAGAGACGCTGGTTTAGAGTGAAGTTGACACATCTGATAATAATTATTACAAGAAGTTGTCATTCACAAGACATTTCGTATGTCAAACTGTCAATTCCATAAAATTTTAAATTGTGATCTGAAATAAAAGATATGTGCTAAAATAATTGTTTGTAGTTGTATTTGGATCCAATTGTTATGAGTATTTTACCAGTTCCACTCTTTGACACAAGGCGACAGATGTCATTTCACGACTCTTATGTTGAGAGACTCTAGTTGACACGTCTGGCAATGTTATTACAAGAACTTGTCAATTGTCAAATGTTTCATTACGCAAATTTTCATGTTAACCTCTGAAATGAAAGAATTTTCATAAATTACTTACACCTGTCAAATGTTAGTGCAATGATATAAATGTCATGTGTGTCTAAATTTATCTTCTTAAAAAAGCTAAAGTAATAAATGTTGAAAAAATAAATTTACAAAATTATTTGGTTAATGAATTATCAAATTCCAAGTATACTAAATACAAATAATTGATCCTGACTAATCTTGACTCCGTTTTTCTTTGCAGGTTTCGGGAATTAGTACGGAAATCTTCAAACAGATAGAAACAGTAGAAAATGACCACGATGCTTCGACGGCGGCGGCGTTGGAGGTAAGTCAACAAGTTTGAGATCTAAAGTTGTACTAATCTTATTATTTTGAAGCACGTGGAGCGCCGGGGTGAGATGATAGTCCGCATCTTAGACCCTCGGCAGCTGGGTAGAACTGCAGGAGATGCTGCCAAGAGATTCCTGTCCATGCAGGATGCCAAGCACAACGTCCAGTTCGTGGAGATCGTGAAGAGACCGGGTCAAACCTTGGGTCTTTACATTCGTGAGGGGAATGGCATCGATCGTAGTGATGGAGTCTTCATATCTAGGATCGCATTGGAATCTGCTGTTTACAATAGTGGATGTCTTAAGGTCAGAATATGACTTAATATAATATATAGATTATACATATAGCATTATGAAAGTCCTATATCAAAACACACGAAAAGTGTACATACAATAACAGTGATAATTACATAATATTTGCTCAATGTATAAAAATAATTGTGAATATTTCAATCATAAAATTGCTTAACTTTGAAATATTTTTACAAGAAAACTGTAAATTCTAAAAACGTGACACTAGGTTCGTTGGATTCGTCAAATTTTTGTCTTTAATTTGAACTATACAGTAATTAGATAAGACGTGAAGTATATTGAAAAAACCACATAATGAATATCAAACTTTTCATGTTAACATGAAAACAAAACCAGTAATACTTCGGTAGCAATTCGAATTTGCATTGAAGCGAATCGGACATATTTGTATTGAAATCAACTTTAAATTCAATTAAAGTTTCGCGGTCGCTAATGCCCCAAACAGGAATCCAATTCCCTTCCCCGTTTTCGGACTTTCCGCAGCCTCGTTCCAAATCAATTTTCCAATTAAAATTTTAATCCGAACTTGTTGTTGGCCTGCACCATCTCGTCGCTCGCTCACTGCATGTGCTCACCGAAAATACTCGATTTGGAAATCCTGCGGAGTTGCAGTGCTCTAGCTCTCCTCTGTTTAGCGATGGGAAAAAAAAAATAAAACACGCTCCATTATCGGAATCGTCCGAATGAAATAATTCGGTTTCGTTTCATGAATAAATTCGGCACGAAAATGTTTTATCATTCGAATATAATACAAAAAAAAAACATGTATAGAGAAATGGAATAAATCGAAGCAGAAATATAAAACGGTAAATTAGTTTCGGTCTCATAAAATGCAGATGTAAATAGCGTGGATTTAATGGGATAATCAAGGGATGTATAGTTTTTTGTTGGCCATTTATTTGCTAAGAGTTATACGGATGGGATACATTTTATGATTGAGTTAGGATCTATCGAATAATGGATTATAAATTTAACTTTTTGGCTATTCATCATTCTTCAAATACAACACACACACACGCTTTTTGTTGCTAAATCATTAATTTTATACTGAATCTAATCAATTATATATCTATATAATTTAATTACTAATCTGGTATGTAACGGAGTTTCTCAGACGCCATGCGATTAACGAATAAACTTGATTAGGTAATGCTAAATTTAGTTTGTCGTGTTATGTTTCTTTTTCGAGAAGTCTCATTTTCCAATTTGTATACTTGTTTCACTTATTCAGTCAATAGCTTACATAAAAGTAAAAAATATGGTCTTTCCAACAAGCCTACTATAAGATTTCTGGTATTTCCAAGTTTCCTGTAAAAAGCTGTCAAAGTTGACTAATTACTAACCTTATATTTAACGGGGTTCCTCAGACGCCATGCGAGTAACGATGCTACGAATGGTCGCGCGAGTAACAAATAAACTTGATTAGGTAATAGTAAATTTAGTTTCTCATTATAATGTTATATTTCTTTTTTGAGAAGTCTCTTTTTGCAATTAGTTTACTTGTTTCATTTATTTAGTCAATGGCTTATATAAGAAAAAAATATGGTCTTTCCAACAAGCCTACTATCAGATTTCTGGTATTTCCAATTTTCTTGCAAAAAGCTGTCAAAGTTGACCAATTACTAACCTTATATTTAACGGAGTTCCTCAGACGCCATGCGAGTAACGATGCTACGAATACTCGCGCGATTAACGAATAAACTTGATTAGGTAATAGTCAATTAGTTTGTCATTTCTTTTTCGAAAAGTCTGATTTTGCAATTAGTTTACTTGTTTCATTTATTTAGTCAATGGTTTATATAAGTAAAAAAATATGATCTTTCCATCAAGCCTACTATCAGATTTCTGGTATTTCCAGTTTTCTTGTAAAAAGCTGTTAAAGTTGACCAATTACTAACCTTACATATAACGGAGTTCCTCAGACGCCATGCGAGTAACGATGCTACGAATGGTCGGGCGAGTAACGAATAAACTTGATTAGGTAATAGTAAATTTAGTTTGTCATTATAGTGTTATGTTTCTTTTTCGAGAAGTCTGATTTTGCAATTAGTTTATTTGTTTCATTTATTTAGTCAATGGCTTATATAAGTAAAAAAAATAAGGTTTCTCCAACTATCCTACTATCAGATTTTTGGTATTTCCAGTTTTCTTGTAAAAAATCTCTTAAAGTTGACCATTTACTAACTTTATATTTAACGGAGTTCCTCAGACGTCATGCGAGTAACGATGCTACGAATACTCGCGCGAGTAACGAATAAAATTGATTAGGTAATAGTAAATTTAGTTTCTCATTATAATGTTATGTTACTTTTCAAGAAGTCTGATTTTGCAATTAGTTTATTTGTTTAATTTATTTAGTCATTGGCTTATATGAGTAAAAAATATGATCTTTCCAACAAGCCTACTATCAGATTTCTGGTATTTCCAATTTTCTTGCAAAAAACTGTCAAAGTTTACCAATTACTAACCTTATATTTAACAGAGTTCCTCAGACGCCATGCGAGTAACTATGCTACGAATGATCGCGCGTGTAACGAATAATATGTTTCTTTTTCGAGAAGTTTGATTTTGCAATTAGTTTACTTATTTCATTTAGTTAGTCAATGGCTTATATAAGTAAAAAATATGGTCTTTCCATCAAGCCAACTGTCAGAATTCTGGACAATTGACATTATATTCATAACAATTGAACTAATGCTCAAAATTTCGAATATTTTTACATCTTCACGATTTCTTTAATTAAGTCAAAAACCTCGAATGCTAATAAAAAGATCCAACAACTTTCCAACGAATCTAATCCGAGATTAGTGGTATTTAACGTTTTTACGTAATCAGCTAAAAAGTCAATTTCCCTTAATTTTTTCTAAAAAAAAATAAGAAAATTAGTTAAAAGCATAAAAATGTGTAAAGAAATGAATAAAATAATTATGAAATATTAAGTAAATCTATGTTTTATAACAATTTTCAAGAGAAAAATTTGTTGTTTATGAATGTTTTGTATGGCTGTCGGTGATCGTGTTTTTAATATTTAGAAATTGCAGTCGAGTATGTATGTTGTTTCTTCTTTTGTTTGTGTTTTGGTTGGTTGATGGATTGCCGTGCTCTGGCAAGGATGGGATGGGATGAAGAAGAAGGAGAAGGGTGCGGATAATCCCAGGTTATATTTCAAGCGGTAGAAATCCACTTAATCGCATTTGTCGACGTCGTCTGGAGGAAACACTGCAAACACGGCTCGACACACTTAACGTTTTAGTTCTGACATTCGAGAAACGAACACCTTTTTGGCTTTTCTTTTCTCTTCTCCTCGTACATACGACCTAGGTGCTCGTACCTCGCTGAAACTGTTGGAAAATCTGAAGGAATGCGGAAGGTCCTCATCCATCATCGCAGGACCTTCGAATCCTGAAGCTTTTAATTATTCATCCAGGCCATACATTACACAAGTTTACTTGTTACTACCAGAGCGACGCTATCGAAGCTCCCATCAAATGGAATGTATTTAGAGCACATATATTACATTCCTAATGCATATATTATGTGTGTTTGCGGTTCTGTGAACGATTTCATAATCAAAAGCGACGCCACCAAATATTTAATCAAAACGTATTTCAAAATTACGAAAGTAGAGTCACTAAAACCACTGTAACATTTAAACTAAACGCCAGATTGACATGAAATTTTGACAGGTGTCGTCTGAAGGTTGGTACTTTGTAAAAATCATATCTCTAACGTAGATAGAGGCGCCATCTATATGTCATCCTACGAACTTACTAAGTGAGGTATTATATAGCAAATAAATAAATATATTCATATTTTATCAATAAAAATTCACAAAAAGTATAGTTTATTAGAAGAATTATATAAAATTATCAATGTTTTTTCATTAATATTACTAAATATAATGATTAGTAAAGTATAAAACAGATTTTTTTTTTCAGTTTTTACATAGATTTTACACTAGAAAAGTTGTTTAACTTTGAAACAAAAACAACATTAAATCATTGCTAATAAAAAATTGGTACGATCTAAAAATGAAGTCTTCTCAATATTAGGAACATTAAAAAAAGCAATAAAATCATCATAATTATATGAAATATCTCTTGATCATCTCTTTTCCAACATTAAGAACTATCATGAAACTATTCTTTCAAAATTTCCGTTGATCATCTCTGTTTCTGTATAAGCAATCATCATGAAATGCATCAAAAATGAACATGAAACAAATTTTTCGAAAATTTCGTTTTATCATGTTTCTGTAGCAAAAATCATCATGAAATGCAAACAACAAAAATACATTAATTATTACATAGAAAATCATCTCAATTATACTCTGTATCAATAATCATCATGAACATTAGCAATAGAGAATGTAATAAAATCATCATAATTATTTGAAATTGCTTTTGATCATCTCTTTTCCTACATCAAAAATGAACATGAAACAAATTTTTCGAAAATTTCGTTTTATCATGTTTCTGTAGCAAAAATCATCATGAAATGCAAGCAACAAAAAATGCATTAATTATTTCATAGAAAATCATCTCAATTATACGAAAATTCTATTCATTACTTTTTTTTCTGTAATAATAATCATCATGAACATTAGCAATAAAGAATGTAATAAAATCATCATAATTATTTGAAATTACTTTTGATCATCTCTTTTCCTACATCAAAAATGAACATGAAACAAATTTTTCGAAAATTACGTTTGATCATGTTTCTGCAGCAGAAATCATCATGAAATCTAAGCAACAAAAATTCATTAATTATTGCATAGAAAATCATCTCAATTATACGAAAATTCTATTGTTTACCCTTTTTTCTGTATTAAAAATAAGAATCATCATGAAAATTAGGTACAAAAATACAATAATTATTGAAAATAAAAATATCATAACTTTTTTATTCTGATATTTTTCCTAATTTTAGATATTATCACCAAACCACTAGAAAATTTGTTTCACTTTTAAAGGAAAACAATACTCGATAAATTATATCGTTTAATTGCTAATAAAACATTGGTATAATCTAATAATGTGGACTATTTTTACATTGTAGACCCTCATTCACAATGAATTATGTTCATTGATAAATATTGTTGAAATTTTAAAAGCTTTACACCGTAAATATATGGACATTATCACCGCAATTCTGTTTGGTAATAACCGTAGCACGCAAATTTCATCCGATATTGAAAATCCATGAAAATCCGTGCACGTGGAACCGCCGAAAATCGAAAAGCGCAGCGAAATGAGACCATTAATATAGATGCGAAATTAATTTACAATTTCGCCCAATTCCGGCTCACAACCATAACAGGTTTGTCGGTACATGAAAATTAAAATGCTATATAAAGCTTTAACAGCTTTTTTTCGTGCATCAGCCTGAAAATTTAGGAAGAAATATATAATAATTATTGTATAGAAAAAATATTACAATTATTCAAAATTTCCATTAATCGTCTCTTTTTTTTACATCAAAAATTACATGTAAATTTAGAAAGTTCCATTAATTATCCTTCTTTCTGCATCAACAATGATCATGAATATTAACTTCAAAATATTCAATAATTATTATACAAAAAATGATCATAATTATTTTCAAATCATCTTATAAATAGAACAACAACAAAATCAATAATTATTATATAAAAAGATCATAATTATTCGAAATTTTCATTGATCATTCCTATTATTACATCAACAATTATCTTTAATATTGAGTAATAAGAAAATCAATATTAACTTATAAAAAATCATCATAATTATAAACAATCATCATAAAACAAATAGAAACAAATTATACAATACAGTCATAAGAATTATTCGATATTTGAATGAATCATCATCAACAATTATCACGAAAATTGAGCAACACAAAATACAATAAGAATCGTACCCCAAATCACAATAATTATTCAAAATTGTTCATCTCTTTTTTTGTATCAACAATCATCCTACAAATAGAACAACAAAATTAATAATTATTATATAAAAAAATGATTATAATTATTTGAAATTTACATTGATCATCCCTTTTCTTACATCAACAATCATCATGAAAATTTAGCAACAATAAATATAATATTAACTTATAGAAAATCATCATAATTATTCCTATTAAACATGCCTTTTGTTGCATAAAAAATCATCAAAAAAAATAGAATAAAATCATCATAACCATTCTATTTTTTGTATTTATCATCACTTTTCCTGCATGGACATTCGTCATGAAAAATAAACAATAAAAATACAATAATTATCATATTGAAAATCATCATAATTATCCAAAATTTCCACTGATGATCGTAAACAGATGTAAACGCCGCATTTAATGTATTTAATCTGGATTACAATCTCTGTTTACCATAGATTTACCATCCATTAGAACGGACGGAATTCAATTATTATTGGGGGAAGCGTCGTCTGTTCGCTCATTGCCAAGATTATTGCATGCATTATTCGCTTATTTTATGTTTTGTATACGACATAACAGACCATTTATATTCGCGATTTTTGTTTCTTTTTTTTTGTTATGTAAATGGGATTTGTATGTTGGAGCTTAGCAAAATAAATGCCAATATTTTTCGGTCGTATTTCGCGGATTAAATGTAGCTGAATTAAAGCTTTCCCTCTCTCAATTTATATATAAAAAAAATGAGTGGGAAAGAGAGAGAATAAAACGGGAGCTTTATTGAGAAACGAATAATTGGCTTCGAATCAAGAAGTTTTCGTTCACAGCCAAAACAAATAGCATATCGTAAATCATGCAACGAGTATTTATTTATTCCAGTAAATTAAGCAGAAATCTTATATAAACTCAATCAAAATTCTTATTTTCTTTTGCAGATAATCTACAGTTTAACTTCAAACATCATTTACTGAAAAATACTTTTTAATACGTATTAAATACCTGCAATATTTAGTTATTTCTTTTACTCGATCGACTTTATTATTAATCACATTTTAAATGATTCAATATGAAACTAATCAAAAAGATACTACAAATTTCTGTAGTTCAATTTTTAATTGGATTTTTCATTAAAGTTATCACTTTTTTTTGTAACAAACAACATAAATCTAATGACTCAATCTCAATAAATAATTTCTGAACTCTTTTATAATCTTCAATATTTGTTTTTAAATATTTCCCCTCTTTGTTCTGACCAATAATTACAAAAAAAAGCGTGACTAGAAGCGATTCATGTGTCGCTGAATTATCTTAATCAACGATCCAAACTACTGCCCATAATTCTACTTCACTCTCTTTTTTTTGATCTAACACGCACTTAAATTTGTTTCCCTACGTTTCATATCAATAAAGTTGTTTTACATTTATATAATCACAGGGAAAGTTCATTTTGAAATTTAGTAATTGAGACTGGAAATGATGACTTTATTCTAATATTTCCGGACAATACAAATAACAAATTAGTAATTATATTTTTTACATTTCCATTTGTTCGCATGAACGTACACAATATTCACATCAACGTACCAGTTCATAAGAACGTACACTTTATAACCAGGTATCACACATATATTTTATTATATACTGATATTGGAAATCATTGGGTTTATTGACTTATCGTGCTTTATTTTAAATCTAGTTTTTGTAAAATTGACATTAATTTGACATCTGCAAATTGACAATTGTGCATAGTAGTTGTTAACCTTAAATTATTAAAGATACACGTCACAAGAATCAACTCTACATTGGTTAACATGGAGACCGATGACAGTGACATTGATTTGACAGCTGAAATTTGTATAACTTCGATACACCTTACCGACATGTATGTCACGTATAGAGAGTGTGGTTGGTAGGTAGCATTAGAAACTCTAAGTTTTTAAGCATGTTGTAATTGAAATGCTGTAGACCATGTACAGTTAAGTTTCGTAGTGAATGTAGACATTGGAAATTGCCCTTCCGCGTAATGTTTGAGTCGTTGAAAAGGAAGGGCGTCGCTCGGTAAATGGCGAGCAAGTTTCGAACGGGTCTCAACAACATTCTGCGATGTTCAGGTTCCATCATTGGATTAAATTAATTACATTTCCAAGCGGCCGTTAATCATACGAAACTCACCCTCCATTCAAATTGTAACAATATCATTGACAAACTTAATTCAAACATTGAGAGTTATATCAGTAATTAATTATTCTAATTATAATAATTTTAAACTGTAAGATAATTATTTTAAAAAAATATGTACGCTAATTGATTGTACGTTAATATGTCTCTTTATTCACAAGAACGTACTTGATATTTATAGTAACTATATTATTGTTAAATGTATTATGATCGGATGGAAAATTCCAATTCATGCATTTTTTTTAGTTGACGTGTTTATTTGTATTTACTTATATAGTCAAAGTTCATACAAACGTACACTTCTATTTGGATTCTGGTATAATATACATATTTCAAATTGAGGCAAACATATAAAAAAGGTCTAAATGTCTAATTGTTCGCACGGGTATACTTACTATTCATACGAACGTACTTGTTGTTCACACAAACGTACACTTTGAATTCGGTGCCTCGATCATAGACATATATAAATTCTGACATACTTACAAAAATTGGTATTCGCGTATCTGTTTGTTCGCTCTAACATACTCAATGTTCATGCAAACGTACACTTTTAATTTGGATTCTGGTATGATGCACCTATTTCAATTTGAGGCAAACATATTAAAAAAGGTTATTATGTCTAATTGTTTGCACGGGCATACTTACTATTCATAAGAACGTACTTGTTGTTCATACAAACGTACATTTTGAATTAGATCCCTGGATCATAAACATATATAAATTCTGACATACTTACAAAAATTGGTATTCGCGTATCTGGTTGTTCGCTCTAACATACTCAATGTTCATACAAACGTACACTTTTAATTTGAATTCTGGTATAATGCACATATTTCAATTTGAGACAAACATATAAAAAAAGGTTATTATGTCTAATTGTTCGCACGAGCATACTTACTATTCATACGAACGTACTTGTTGTTCATACAAACGTACACTTTGAATTAGGTCCCTGGATCATAAACATATATAAATTCTGACATACTTACAAAATTGGTATTTGCGTATCTGTTTGTTCGCTCTAACATACTCAATGTTCATACGAACGTACTCGATACTCGATTTTGACTAAATTTTGTAATATCCTATAAAATAAAGTATAAAGATTAGGTAATTTAAGTTAATAATATGTAAATGTGTTATAAAATATTTCATATATATACAATTTTAGTATCGATTCTAAGGGTTGTTCTACAATATCTTTATGTGCATTCGAACAAAAAAAAGAAATATACGTGTATTTCGATTACCATTCGTCGCACGTATGGATTCTGTTGATATAGGACTTTATGGGCTATATAACTACTTTTTTTAAAGTAGTAACTCCTTCAACTTATATTCCGTTCTGTTTTTGTCCTTTCTTTTTGCTCGTCTTTAGGTGGGCGATGAAATTCTGGCAGTGAATTTGGTGGACGTGACCCGAATGAGTCTGGACGACGTCGTGATCATTATGTCGATACCTCGACGTTTGGTCCTCGCCACGCGCCAACGTAAAGGGAGCAAGGGTGGACAGAACTCGCCCAGCGTCCAACCCAGGGCCGAACACAAACCGCCACCCGTAGTTGTCATCAAGCGTGAGCTGCGCGAAGACGAGATTGATGAACCGGACATGTCTCAACACAGGTACTTGAACTGTATCAACTTGAAAGTATACAATTATATATGTTTGTTGGGATGATTAGTAGGGATACGATGAGGCAAAGACATACCGGCGATGGAAGAGAGATGAGCGAGTCCAGATCAAGGCTTGGTTTAGGTCTGGATAGTCGAGGGCACAGCGGAGGTCAGGATACCAACGGTCTGGAGCTCTTCTACAATTCGAGGGCTTCGGATGCTTGGGGTTACCAACCTCCACCTCCGGTCATCACCGAGCAGCCCAAATCCAACATGCAGCACTTCCAACCCTACGAACGCAGCTACCCGAACACGCTGGAGAGTCTCGCGGAGAAAGTTCACTCCTTCGGATTACCTAACAGGAGGATGAGCGCAGGAAACCAACCCATGCCTCCACGGTAATCTCACTTAACTTATATTTATTTCCAAATATACGTAGTTATAATTAAGATTAATGCATTTTTTTAATAGAAGATACAAACTGTGCTTCTTGAGATTTATTATTAAAAGTTATGATTTCCTTCTATTTGTGTCCAGATTATCATCCCAACAAAGTCCCTCGTCTCATTACTACGTACAGCACACTGGAACCGGATCGCGTCGCATAATGCCCAGATCCGGTTCAGATCAGCATCTTCCGCAAACCGAGTACTCGGATTACAGCAGCATAACTCCTGCTGGTCGTCACAGTCTGCTCAGATCCAGCCTGAAATCCGGATCCACTATGAGCAGGTACAATCAGAGGTACGCGGAGCAGGGATCCGTTGCCGCTCAGCTGGCCCAGGCCAAATATGCCAGCTCAGGTCAATACGCAGGTGGAACGCTGACCAGGAGGAACAGGAGCAGCTTGGACTACTCCAGCGATACAGAAGCAACATGCGGAGGTCGTGCAGGATATTATTATTACAGGTATTATCATTTTCCTAACATATTTAAGTTTTCGTAAACGTACACAATGTTCGTACTCAATGTGGATGTTCGTTCATACGTACATTTTGCTTTTGTGAACTAGGCAATATATACATATTTCAAAATTTCTTCAATCAGATGATGATAACAAGAACCAAATTAAAACAAAAGTGTAAAACACAATCGTCTACTGGTTCGACTCACATTATAGTACGTTCATACGGATATTTGTATGTTACTTTGGAAATTTAGACGTTCTATCGAACGCAGGCCAGCGTTAACTTCACTTATCTACTACCCTTATATATTTAAGCAATGATTTTTTTTATTAGACAAATCTAGTTAACATAAATTCACAATGATTAATTTCGACTGTCATCATTGTACGTTCACACGAATATTTGTACGTTAGTTCGAACAAACAATCGTTATCTAAACATCGTTAAAATAACGTACATTAAGTGGCGCTCACTCAATTCTATGATCCATTTAACCAAGATTATACATACTTTATAACAGTATTATGAACTTTAACGAAAGTAAATTAAAAAATAAGTTTTTACCTTTGAAGAATAACATCCGAAGCGAATTCATTTCTACGATGGAATTTCTATTATTAAAAGATTCGCTACAGTTCGGTCGTAAAACGTTTCCTTTTGCAAGAGCTTCATTTTTCTTTCATTATTTACACTCATCCAAGACTTAATTAATCTTTACGTCCGCTACTATTTTTCCGTCACGATTTCATTAAATCTACATTTACCAAACTGCATGCAACTAAATTACATTTACAGCAATAAATCTTAAATATTTTTCAACGCAATTTCAATGAGACAAATCTTTATTTATTTGTCCACAAAACAAGATTAATTTAAAATGTTAAAAGAAAATTAATTTGTTCTCTTACTTATTATTTTCGTTTACGAATAAAAAATGCAATATTTCCAATAAATAATTAGGAAACTAATTCAATTACTTCAATATAATCAAATTTGATAAAATTACTTCTAACATTTTTTTTTTAGTTTAATTAAAATATTTGTATATTTATACTCAAAATAATGAAATAAAACAATAGTAAATAATGATACAGTTCTCTAGAATTAATTAAATTTCAATTTTCTACTGTTTTCGTTAACAAAATGTGCATAAACAAAAAAAAACACAAACCAAAACAATTATTAAAATTTTATTCAATTCTGATGAAACAATAACAGAAAGAGGTAGAGTTATTTATACAATAACAAATGTTATGTATTTTCCATATAAAAACCAATTATTTATTATCATGTAATAGTAAAATTATTATTTTTTTCTATAAAGTTAAAAAAAACTAATATTTTAATTATTTTCTCTAATTGAATTATTTCGTAAATTTTTGTAATAAAATATATAAAATACAATTGAAACGTTTTTATTACAGATTTTCACATACAAAATAATATTTTCATACAGTTTTCTCTCAATTGTTGTTTTTTTATTTAAAAAGTTAATAAAAGCTAAATAAATCATCATTGCACAATTACGTTGCGTCCGTTTCAATATTGTTTGGAAAAAAAACGCGAACAATATGAAATTAGGAATGCACACGTTTCACACTGAATAAAAAAAAAGTTTTATAATCGTATGGAATTTTATTGAATTGCGGTGTGCATTGGAAATAAAAAATAACGTTTTTAAACTATTAAAATATAACAAATGCAGATCACTGTTTGTGATGTTTAGAATAACAAAAAAAAAATGTAATATTCGTTTGAATGGATACGATTCAACACATGAAATACAATTAATATTATTCGAAATGTTTATTCATTTTATATACAAATTAAAGTGTTTGTTTTTATTTTAAAGCATTATTTACGTAATTTAATGTATTAAGATACGTTTAAATAAACGTTTTTATTTTAATTAATGTGTAATTATTAAAACTGATAATTGAAAGAATTAAAAACATTTAAAAATCGAACATTCAAAAACTATCTAGTTTTCAGTTATTTTGTAAAATTAAAATATTTTATTAGTAATAGAAATAATGAACATAATTTATTGTAGATAAGCAATTGACAAAACGTTTGTTTTTTAATAATTCGAAAAAATATTCTTCAAATCTGACAGCTTATTACAGAAAAACGAGAAACACCATAAATCTAACAGTGGGCTCATTGGAAAGGTGATAGTTTTGTTTTTCATTTGGTCATTTGATGAACTAAGTGACTTTTGTAGTTAACGAATAATTAAACAAAATGTGTAGATATGATTAAATCGTTATATTTAGGTTAATAATAAACATTCCCTAACGGTTGAAAAAAATGACATCAATAGTGAAGTGACATTGACAGTTCTGACAATTACTCAATGTCGTTTAAATAGTTAAACGTCATTCAATAACTGTCTAAATAACTGTAGTATTTACGATATGCATTATATTAAGAGTATTGATGTTTAATTCGACTTACAAGTAGTTAAATAATATATTTGAAAGTAAACGTTTAGGTTTGAATAAAACAAGCAAGTCCTAATCATTAGAACCAATAGAACTGTTAAGAACGAAAAGAGACGGTGTTTGACGGTTAGTTCCTTTTTTTTATTTAATATGTAAACGTTTTATTGGATTAATATTTATCAAATATTAAAAAACAACACAAAATGACGAAAATGATTGAAATTTTATATCTTAATCCGTAACTACTACGGACAAATAAATGAAACACAAGTACTACCTACGGGTCAAAATGACCTGTTTATTAAAAATTATGAAAAAATATTAATTTTTACAACAATCACATATTAATTATTATTATTTAATGAATTTAAAGTCATTAAAAACTGATTTTAATGCTCAAAACAGTGTGGGAATTTTTTTGAGAAAGAATAAAAAATTGGTTGCTTGTCGCTTTTATTTGGACACAAAAAAAACTCTTTTAGATTTAGGAATCCGTTCATTAGGTTGTGCTTCAACAGGTATTTCGATATTTGCAATTTTAAGATCTTTTGGTTACTACTTTTGTTATCAAAGATTACCTTCTCTCCCAATGGCTCCACTGTTGTCACCAAAGATATTTAATATACAATAAAATAACGCCATTGGTTCATTTTTCATACCTGCTTTAGTCTCATTATAGAAATGTATGATATCACTATTTTTGTATTTTCATTCATAGTATTATTATGGGACATACTGGATATCAAAATTACTGATTTTTCCTGTTTTGGTACATGGGAAACCTAACTTATTACAAATTGAAATCCAAATATTGATGATATTTCAAAAACGTATTTGATACAAACTGCTACTAAAAATTGTACTAGATGGTCAATTCCCATAATTAAATTACAATAGAATGGGAATAAAAACAAATATCAGATGGGTCACTCTGACCCATCCGTAGTACTTACGGGATAATTGAATTAAAATAAATATTAATTAAAAATCTAATATCCTAATTTATATTTCTTTCTTATCTAACGCGCAAATTGTATGTCTCATTTATTTAAATTATAAAGTATTAATTGAATATACAATTTTATTACTCCATAAATACACGAAATTATTTATAATTATTATTAACTTCACAAATTACGTACGGTGTGCATGCACCATTATAAAATTCGTTACATAACATGTACGTATAGGTTTAAACATTATACGTACATAACATGTACGTATAGGTTTAAACATTGGTTTCAACGTTGTTTCCACACTAATTTCGACTTGTTCTACAATTTGCAGCAGAAATCAGCCCGCGGCTGCCGTTCCTCACAGCACAATCCCAACACTAGGTAGGACGAATCCGCTCACATCAACGGACATCACGACGAAATTCAATTCCCTTCCAAGGGACACACGCGGCGCAACCAGGTTTGTACATCCAATCAATCGTTTTTATCCTCATCTTCTATTTTCATCAACAATATCAAAAAATAATACTCGAATATGAAAGTATTGAGACTAATTAATTAAATCAACGTGTTTTTCTCTTCTTTTATATTCACCAATAACATAAAGCAAAATATTGGAATATGAAAGTTTGCTACTAATTAATTAAATCAACCTGTTTTTCTCCTCTGAAAATAGTTTCATCAACAAAAAAACCAAAAACAAACATAATAATTAAAAAAAAACAATATATTCGAATATGAAATTATAATTTAAATTGTCACTAATTAATTAAATCCTGTATAGGTTGGCAATGAACAAAAGGTTCGGTGGAAATCTGCTGCAGGACGAGGCGGATGGAAACCTATCCGCACCTGAAATGCCCTCAATAAGACCCAGAGGTATTTTATGCAATTTTATGTTTCCAATCCAATTCTTTGACTTTTATTAACTTTGCTCTTATTTATTTATTTATTGTTGTTATTTCTTTATCATTCAATATTTTGTATTGTTGCTATGCACCATTTCATTCTCATCCGCACGCTAATTACCATAAAACCATAAATCCTCGGACGCTTTGTCCCGCGCTTTGTCTGTGCAAACAACAATCCATTTGTGCATCTTCTCTCTGTATGTCTTCTCTTCATTATTCACCCGACTGAATTCCCTTCAGATGAGTACAGACAATGGCTGAGCCGGACACCGTCAACGTCTGCGATTTACGAACAGATTCGTGCTTCGAGGGACGTTCTGAATCAGCAGAGGGCCGCTAGGTTCACGTACAGCGCGGAGAATATCCATGCTGCCCTCAAGGAAGTGAGTATACAATCTCAAAGAAAACAAACAAAAAAAATAAAGAAAGATGCAAACCAAAAACAAATTAATAATAATAATAACTTGATAACCTTTTGACATGCAATAAAGTAATAAATCTGTAAAATTATAATGAAACAAAGAAAGAAATTTCTTGAATTATTTATTAATGAAACAATTCAATAGTAAATAAACTGTACAAAATCAAAACTTATATTTTAATCGTATGTCAAAGAGTTAATTATTACAATTTCTTTGTTTTTGTTTCATCGTATTTTTTTCTCTCTCTCTCTCTATCTTTTTTTTATTATTCGACTTTTGTCTTTCTGCTTAATGTGAATGAAAACTTGTGTGTCGATGCAGACCGAAGGAAGCTTCTATAGCTCGTACGGCGGAAGGCCCGGGGTCACGGCCACCTTAGATAGGCATTTCACGAGATCTCAGCATCAAACACCCGCTCGCTCATTGTCTACACAACATATCACTTCATCTTCATCCTCAGGTAAAATGGCTTCTATGGTCTCTATGCTTTCGTTTCGTTGCCCAAAAAGCGTCGCTTCGAAACTGATTATTATTATTATTATCGTTACTATTATTATTATTATTGCAACAAATTTTTCTTCTGTCTTTCTGTTCCATTTCTGGTACCGAATTCTTGTTTTGTTCGACACTTCAGTAGCGTTGGCTTCCTCGCGTTCGCCTTCGATGAGGAGGATGAGGCAATTATTAGATTTAGATTCGGTACGCACAGGAGCTCCGAGTCCCGTTCCGACGCCAAGCGGAACACTACCCAGAGGACAGAGGCAACTTGACATAAACCCCGCTGGTAAGTACATCTTCATCATCATCATCATCAGTATTCAACCTTTGTCCAATCTTCGATTTAATCCGAAATGAAAACAGTGTAATCTAATCTAATAAGATAAGTTTTACTAATAATGGTAATCCAATGAAACTGACTAAACTTCATCAGGGCTTAGGGTAATCTCTGAAATTTCTTGAAAATGTTTTAATTAACGTATTACTGTACTTCAAGTTGAGTATAACTCAAAATAACATGCGGTGGACATTGAACATACATTTTGTATGGAAAATTTTAAAAGTATGTGATGAATATTCTAAATATTCATGTTTTTTTTTGCAGAATTTTTGAAGTACAAAGTAGATAAGCCCAGTGTGCCTGGTGGAACTTTGGGCGGTCTATCATCGCTGGGATCGACGTGCGGCTTAGGGTCGACCGAGGAACCGGTGAGTGGATTACTGTGGGTGCATTTGCTGGCAGGAAGAGGATTAAGGGCATCAACCGGGACTTCCACGGCGACGACCCCCGTGACGCCGAGCGGAGGGGCGGCCCCGTCCATAAGCACGGGCGGATCCGCAGGCTTGAGAGATCTCTACTGCGTCCTGGAATGCGACCGGGTGCACAAGGCCCGAACTGTAGTCCGAACAGGAGACCTGGTCTTCGATTGGGACGAGAGCTTCGAGCTGGACCTGGTCTACAACAGGGAGCTGGATCTGTTAATATACTCGTGGGATCCACAGTACAGGCACAAGCTGTGCTACAAGGGCTCCGTGCATCTGGCGTCTCTGCTCAAAGCAGGACCGCTGCATCAGCTAGCTCTGAAGATCGAACCTAGGGGAACTCTGTACCTTCGTCTTCGACATACAGACTCCTTCACCCTGTACAGACGCAGAGGACTTTCGAGCTTGACGTTATCCAGAACGCAACCTCTCTTCGGAGTTGACCTCGAGAATGTGGTCAATCGCGAAGCGAAGACCGGTGGTGTTGCTACAGGTTTAACATCAGCAGCTCAGCAAGTTCCGATCATCATCAGGAGATGCGTGGAGGAGATCGAGCGTCGCGGCTTGGACATCATCGGGTTGTACAGGTTGTGCGGATCGGCGACGAAGAAGAGGATACTTCGTGAAGCCTTCGAGAGGAACAGCCGATCCGTTGATCTTACTCCTGACAACGTCCCCGACATCAACGTGATCACTGGTGTTTTAAAAGACTACCTTCGCGAACTACCCGAACCACTGTTCACCAAATGCCTCTACCAGATGATGGTCGATGCGCTCGGAGTCTGCCTCCCCGACGATCCCGAAGGAAACGCCAAGTTGATGTTCTCCATCCTGGATTGTCTTCCTAGGGCCAACAGGGTAATGATACAGAATCCCTTCAATAAAACAATTACAATAATTTCTTTTTCTCTCTCAGGCCACCCTTATATTCCTTATGGATCATCTGGCCCTGGTGGTCTCAGCTTCCGACAGGAACAAAATGTCCGCACAAAATCTGGCCACGGCCCTTGCCCCAGTCTTGATACTCCATTCGAGCACCGACACGCATTCCGGTGGTAGCCTCAAGCAGACCGACATCGATTACAATCAACCCATTGGCGTTTTGAAGTACCTGCTGCAGATCTGGCCGACGCCGAAGCATCACTCAGGTAAAGTGTTGTTTACTCGCACATCCCAAAAAAAAAAGATATTTCCTCATGAACGATGACCGTTCATGTGATGATGTTTAAGAAATAACTCCGACACATTTTTACATCTCATCCTTCTGGAAATTATATCTACTCACTAGTTACATCATAGTTACACATGTTTATGACACACATTATACATAATGATTGCAGACACATCAAATGATAATTTAAGAACAAAAAAACAACCTGATTATATATAAATTATTATCTAAATTAACAATATACAATTGTCATAATTTGACAGGTTTATAATTAGTTTAATTACAAATTACATATTTCATGATTTAATTATCTGATTAATACTAAATAATAATACCATTCCATACAACTGTTGATCCGATTCAAATATTCCAAAGCACTTTAATAGATTACAAAATTTACAACGTACTTATCCGATTAGTTTAACTGTCAACAAATTGAGGTGTTTGTAATTTGTTTGTTTATTGGTAGTCCCTCGTTTCTTATTGGTGTTTATTGCATGTGTAACGTGATTTAGAGAGGTGCTTCTCCATACTGCTTAATTTATCATTCAATGATGAAGAGAAATTATATACATATATTTCCAACTTTGATAATCGGTCTCCTTACATAATATATCTTGAATAAGTTTCTGTTTTTACTTTTTAGATCTTCGATAGTCTATCTTGTGAATTTTCGATTTATTTCGTCATGTTTATGGCTTCTTCTAATATCTTCATTAATACGACTATTCATTCTTGTGTAAGTTCTTTTAGAAGTTATTATTTTTGATGATTTATGCTTGAGTACTCTTCTATCTTACCAAATTACCTAAATAGTTGATTCTTTAATGAGATGTAGGTATTTCAAGTATGAGAGAAGCATCTGTTTAGAATGATTAGCTAGTGACAGATGGGGTTCTGGGTCGTGTACGATCCGGTTTCCTGTCAGATCCTGTCCGGGTGTATTGATGTGTCGGGGTGTTGTTGGTATTGAGAGGGGGACCTTTCCAGACAGGTCGACGCGGCAGACAACCCGGGCCGCGTGGAGACAATCGCAGTGTGTGTCCTCCGGGGGTGGCGGTGCAGCAGCAACAGCAGCAGGTGGTGGTGGGCCGTCCTCAAGAGCAGTCTCGGCTCTCAGCGGCTCCGTTTCCTCCTCCTCCTCGCTCTCTAGTCTCGGCCCCACGAGGCCCAGTGCCGCCGGTCCCATCACACCAGACACTAGTAAGACATAACGTCGTTGAAGATGAATGCATTTGATGTTGATGATCACACTAATTGATAATCGTTTGCAGGGCCAATCATCAGCAAGCAAAGGTCCTTACCGTCCGCTATCACCGCGGGTCGGGCCGCCTCCGGCATCGTCGGCTACGGCGGTCCAGGGAGGCCTCAAGCCGCGACAGGTGATAGTCTCTTCGCCAGGCTCACCAAGCAGCAGCAGTGACTCCCAATCCGGCTCCGACTCCGTCAAACACTGCCTACCAAGCCGAGTAACCTCGCCGGCCGTTAGGGCCTCGCCCTCATCCATTCGCAACTCACCTACCATCCGCAATTCGCCGTCTTCATCAACGGCCGCGAACGGTTTCCACCACGGTAGTCCGACGTCTACAATCAACTCACCATTACCCAGGAACTCTCCCTCGATAACAAGCTTGAGCAGGGCCAGTCCCTCGATCATGCAGAGCGCCAGGAGCAGTTCCCCTGCCATGCAGGGAAGCTCCGCAGGCCTCGCCGTCACCCTCTCCTCCGGCACCAGCGCCCTCTCGACCCTCTCCGGTCTTCAATCGACCATCTCCAACATCAGCACCACCGCCAACAATCTATACAGCATCAACTACACCCAACCGACGACCTACGCCAGCACCAATCCTTTCCTCACAGGCGCATACCTGAACTACACTCCCGAATCAACTGGTAGCTACTCCAACGACAAGTACGGCTCCAACAGCAAACCGTTCAGCTTCGAACAGAAGGATAACGAGATGAAGCAGTACACCTCCACCTTCGACAGCGGCAAGAAGTACGGCTACAGCGACGCCTACTCCACCCTCAGCAAATCTCCGTACTTAGGCGTCAACTACAACAGCTCGGACAAATACTCGAGCAAGGATAAAGGGTATGACTCTAGCCCGAACGCCACTCCGGGCCTCCTCGGCGTTGAAGAAACACCAACACCTACGAGCAGCATCGAAACAGAGGATAGCAACACCCGTGAAGTCGGCGAGAAGGACGTCGAAGGCGACGGCGAGCTCAGCGATTAGTGATAAATCCTGCTTTAACCCTTATGTAAGTCCCATCATGCAACCCTACTCTCGATCGAGTAACCAACATCACCAACTTTTTCCTTGAAACAAAAGCAAACAACAAAATGTCAAACGAGTTGAACCTCAAGCATACCTTGTAACATCCCTGAAGATCGCGAGAGCAGGCCGAGATCTCTTTTGGAGGTGGGTGGAAAGCACACAATCCTTCTTAAACACTTATTACCGTGGCAGCAATCGAGTATAAAAGACAAACTACGCGGAGAGAGATGTATAAAACATTTAAACACAAACAAATTAAATGGGGGAAATCGTTCCACGTCGGAGTTTCCTGTTTTCGGCCCATTTCATGTCACACACCACATCCATACCAACCATTAAAAAAAATAATGAATGGGACGCAATTTCATTATTGTCAGCTTATTAGTAATCAAACAGTAAAAAGAAATATATTATATATATACAAAGAGATATGAATATTAGGATCATTGTTAACTATTAAATAAATTATAAATGAGAATTATATTATATATAAAACAAAAAATTATATATATATGGAATACGAGTTTAGTTTATAGAAGATGTAATTATTATTATTATTAACCACAGAATGCGGATACAAGAATTGAGTCGAGATGGTTAGGTTATTGTGCGGATGTTTAGGTCATTGTTATGTGTTTGCACAACTGTTTACTTACTATTATTATTTTTGTTTCCGTTTCCGGATTTTCGATGACAATTACAGCAAAAACCCGAATAATAAGTTAAAAAAAAAGAGAAAAAACTTTTTCTTTTATGAATATTAAATTGAATAAAATAATAATACAATATACATATATACGAGTATATATTATATATAAATATGAATATACAAGACATATACATTTACTAATTATTATATTATATATAATCGGTGTTATACTACATTTATATACTAAACTTATTATACATATATATATACATACTTGCTAGAGAGGAGAAACGTTGATCTTGTTGATGAGTGGACTCGATACAAGAGAATCGGTAATGCACAAAGTATAGATGAATATTGGAAGATGCTGGGAGATGTTTTTTTTTTTCTTTCATTATCGGAGAAGCAACCATATATTTGTTAAGTGAACAACACTGCCATTTTTAACTCGTGTAAAAGTTATGAACTAAGGGGAAAGGAAATCCGTATAGGCAGGAGGCGTTTTTCCATTACTTTTGTTTTTCTGTGTGTGGATTTTTTTTGTTGTTGTTTGTTGTTTCCTAGGTAAATTTGAGGAATTCGTCACGTGAATGTGATTTTAACGCTAGTAGCATAAATTGTAAAGTAAATTTAACTAAAAAAATATAATATATATATATGGAAGACAAAAAAAATAATATGCAAGTACTATACATATAGTTTATATACTATAAATAAACGCAATTGAGGAGAAAAGTAATTATCGTAACAATTTTTTTTTTTTGTGGGATTAGCTAATGTTTCATTTTTTTTTGGGGTGGCGTTTCGTGTACACTTTTCAGGGTAATTGAGCGAATAACGAACGAAATGCAATACTCAATTTAAACTAAATCCAATCTTATGTTAATTTTTGTTTTGTTTTAAAAGATGTAAGAACTATTTCAAATTTACACAAACTTCTTCTCATTATTAATTACAATTATTCTAATTTTGTTATTTTTGTTAACAGTTATTTCATTAGGAAATGTTATTTAACTTTTTTCCTGAAAAAATATAAAATACAGCTGCAAGTGTAAGGTTTTTTCCAATCTAAGTTTAAACAATTTCATAAAATTATGTATAAATCTCTGAGATTGTTTAAATTTCTCAACAAGAAACACATTTGTTTTTTCCTAAAAGAATTAAAATATTTTCAAGTGCAAATGTATACTTCTCTGAATAAAAAGTTCAAGGTGATTATTAAAATTAAAATAAAAATAAACTACTATTAATTCGGATTCTAAACTGAATCGTTGATGATGAATTGCGTAGTGCAAAGTGCAGATCGTAATGAAAGAAAACGGCCGATACTACCGAACCCTGAGGTTACGCTAGTCCACACAACAGGTGGATGTCCACGTCCTTCAAACTGGCGCTGCGTTAATCCCATTTCGCTTTCATTGTTGAAGGACGTTCGGAGGAGAGAGAAAAAAAAAGGTGAATAGAGTTTGAAAAAACTTGACTTTTGCATTCAAGAGTTCATTCATTTATTTTGGGGAATTGCGAGATTCGAAAGTGTTTTCCATGAAAACGTCTCTCAATTTATATTCTTTGCGTAATTCATTTCGTCAAGTTCATAGTTTTTCAAGGGCAAAAAAGATGATTTAACTTTAATAAAGTTAAAAAAAAATAATTGGAACTTAAGAGAAGTTTGTGTAAATTTGAACTTTGGTTTGATGTTTGTTTCTAAGAAACTGAGAAGATGTGAATGTTGAGATTGGATTTACGATTTTTCCCTAAATTAACGTCGCCCCATTTAAGATTAACTAACTAAAACTTTTGTACATAATACGATAATAATTCATGTTTAGGATGCAAAAAATAAACGATGTAATTTCATGTAAGAGTAAAAAAAAACACGACAAAAAAAATATATAAAATTATATAAGATGTGTCTTCGCAAAAAGCATTGCAATAGATTGTGGTAGAAGCGAACGATATTATTATATAATAATATTGTAAATGTACAGCGATTTTAGAAGGTGATTGATACTTGTTTCTTTTGTTGAAAGAAGTAAGGATTATTGCAACTATACAACAAAAAAAAGGAAGTTAATATTAATAATAACTTAATTTTATACTTTTTTCTATGTTTCTATGTCGATATTGAAACGGTGCGAAACCCTACTATGCATATATATACATAAATATATTAGGGGTTGGAGGGTGTGCAAAAAAAAAGTAATGAAATTGGTTTATTAAGTATACATACACAAAATGGGACGCAAGAGTCGAGCAAGGAAAGAAGAAAACGGTAATTGGAAAGAGTGGCGTAAAGAATGTAACCAGGAAATAAACAATAATTGCTAATAGAGCAATAATATTAATATTAATAATACATACTATACAATGCATAAGTATATATTACGTGTAGCTCATAACGTTTAAAAAACAAAAAGACGACGATGAAGATGATGAAGCTTTTTATATCTATATATATATAAAAAAAATGTGTACTACACTTTTCTTTCTGATTCCTCCTGAGGCGTGTGTGTTGGGCTTAATTTTAGTGTAGATGAAGAAGAAGAAAAAATACGGGGGGAATGATTTTCTTTTTTTGTAAAGGATTTACCCCGAGGCCCGCATTTTAAGCAATCTAAATAATGAATTATATAAGTAAACGAACAAAACGGGACGAAAGTGTTATTAATTATAAGTAAGGGTGGTAGTTGGCAATTTTTTGCTGATCGTCTTCTGTTATTTTTTTTTTCATTTGTTAGGTGATAGGTTTTGTTTTTATATATATATTGGTTCCGTTTCGATGTTTCAATCATGATTCATGTGTGTTTGCGAATGCGTTTTATGAATGCGTCAATATATAGAGCTGACCTTCCACTTGCCTACGAAATAGCCTGTTCTCAATAATCGTGGATGAACACTATATATATATATATAAATGATAGGTGTTTTATGTATATTCGGGGTTGTCTCTTGATGATCAATTTTACAAAGTGTTTACCGTAGTCAACAAATTTAACAACAAAAACGTTGTATGGTATCTAAGCAACCACTAAACAAGAAGTGTCAAATGTCAAAGTTAACCATAGTTACCGTAGTCAACAAATCTAAGTAACTATGAAACAAGAAATGTCAAATGAAAAATAAAATAAACTCGTAATTAAAATTCAAAGTTTATAAATTTCTAAAAAATGTTACAATTCATTTGAGGTTTTAAATAAGACAAATTTACCAAAGTCAGCTTTAAAATCGTAATTACTTAAAAAAAACGTTGTCTGGTGTCAATGCAACTATTAAACAAGAAATGTCAAAAGTAAAACAATATAAAGTTTATAACTTTAAAAAAATTGTTACAATTGATTTGAGGTTTAAATAAGACAAATTTACCAAATTCAGATTTAAAATAATTATTATTTGTTGTATCAAGAAGAAATGTCAAATGTCAAAAAGAAAATAAACATGTTGTAATTCAAATTTAAAGCTGAGAAATTTCGAAAATTTATTACAATTTATAATAAAGTCGTCTTACTTTTTTTAGTTTTTGTTCAAATTTTAAGTTTTCCTAAATAAATATATAATTTCAAAAACGTTTACTAAAACAAAGGGCTATTGACCATAGGTCTTTCTGTCCAGTTTTCTTATTAAATTATTCTTCGAAGATGGTGAAGACTTGTTCTTGAATTTTCTTCAGATTTTATTTTCATATAGAAATTTGAATAGTTTTTCAACAAATTTTGTCTTTTATTTGGATAATTTGGATATTCTTGAATTGATTTAAAAACTTACATAAATACAGAAAAAAAATGAAGAATTTTGTTTTCCTTTTTCATGAGTTTATAATTATTTTATGTTTAAACTTTGTCATTTTTATACTTATATTTATGTATGTTATTTTGGGAAAAATCGTAATTTCTTATTGAAAGTTCGTAAAGTGAGAACTCGTTTCTTATATTAATTAGTAAAGCGAAAATTTGTTTGAAAACTATAATAAAAATTGAAGCATTGATACTTCGAAAAATTTAACGAAAACTTTGTAAAATGATAACTTTATTCTTAAAAATTATTAACTACTTGATAATTAAAATAGTGTATGATTTAACAATAATAAAAACTTACTTTTGACAAAATAATTGTAAAATCTGAACAAATCTAAGCTTTGATACTATGAAAAAAAAAATGCAAAATTAAATTGTGAACTTTAAAAAAAATTGCATAATGGAGACACCCTGTAATATGCATAAAAGAAAAACAGAATTATATAAATATTTATGTGTATAAATTATTAAATTGTACATGTTAGTTGCGTGTGTGAGCGAGAAGTAAATTTAAAAAAAAATTAAAAAATGTTTAAAAAAAAAATAATAATATATCTATTGAACAAAAAAAAAACGTATTGAAAAAAGTAATTAATTAATTATTATATAAATTATAAACACTAGTCAATTTTAAGTTTGGTCAATTTTAGAACGAGTAGTTATTATTATAAATTTTCTAGACTGTTGATGAATATTTATTGCACCGGCTATATTTAACAAAAAAAAAGTATATATATATTGAAAAATATTTAAATGGAAGCAAAAGAAAGAAAGAATAATAAGCGATGGAAGAGGAATAAAAAAAAGTAATGAAAATAGTTTGAAAGAAGAAAACGCAAAATTATTTGATTGATTGATTGATTGATTGAGAGAGAAATGTGGGGGAAGAGGAGATGTGGAAGCAATGAAGACGGAGATGAGAGTTTATCTG